GCCCCCCGCCCCGCAGCCATGGTGACTCAGAGGCTAAATGCTTTATGACTCCCTCCCTGCAAAAGCCAGGCTGTGATCTGTAGGGTTGGAGCACGCACAGGGCCACATTCCATTCTGTTCCACAACCTCCCACGAACAAAACTGCTGTGCGCTTCCAATGGGCCAGTAGCACCAGCCGGGTTATCTCAGTGCACATGTCGTCTCCGTAAGCCCTCTGGACCGCTCCAGGAGTCCTGCATTCTCTCTTTTCAGGCATAGGGACACAGAAAGGCAGAGAGCCTGGTCAAATGATCAGAGATCACAGAGCCTTGAGTGGTGGGCCTGGACCCCAGAGCCTGCCCCGCAAAGCCATGCCTGCTGCCTCACCAACACACAACTGTCTCCCTGAGCCTGGTTTCCACCTTCCTCGAGAGCCTTCCAGGGATGGGCAAGAGGCTAACCTATGGCTACTGGTGCTCAGGTCAACAGGTGAAATAGGACCAACTTATTTAGCTGCCTGGCAGACAGTGGGTTTAGAGGCACGAACCAAAGGCAGGGTCAGTTGATTTTGTGGTGATGCACCTGCTACTTCACCCACTAGCAGCAATTCTCCCCTCCTCTGGGCACACGATCACGTGTGACTCCAACGACAACCCGCCTGGGGAGGGGCATCTCCTCTCTCCCCGTGGAAGGAAGGAGAACAAGAGGCTCTGAGAGGCCATCACAGCTGGGGAGTGGCAGGGCCAGGTGGACCCAGTACACTGCTGCCGGTCTCAAGAGCCTTCCTCTGCCTTGGGAGAGTGAGGAAGGCTGGGGCGGGAACACAGAGGAGGGGGGACAGAGAGGATGCACTGAGAGGTGTCAGGACCACAGTCCTGGTCCCCTGATTCCTCCCCAAACCAGGGAGGGTGGGCAGGAGATGTGGAAAGAGCACCGGCCTCTGGAACCAGAAAAATCTGGGTTCAAGTCCTGGCTCCAGCTGTGAACCTGTTTCCTCATCTGTAACATGGGGACAAGAACATGTAACTCCCGGTGCAAACCTCTCTCACAAGCCTCACGCATAGTAGGTACAGAGAGAGCGATGTTTTTCCCGCTGGTGAGAACACACATTTGTATCTCATTTTGTTGTTTACAAAGCTCTTGCCCAGCCCACGTGTCATCTAAGTTGCCAAGACAATCCTTGGAGGTGGCAAGATCACGGATTAATCACTCTTCCCTTTTTTACAGATGAGAAAGAGAAGGGGAAGGTACCTGAGTGTAGCCAGTCGTGTGCCCAGTAAGCAGCAGAGTTGGGGTGTGAGCTCAACACCACACCTCCCACTCCCTGTGGCTTTCAATTGCTCCGCACTGTGAACCACACTGTGATGAGTTTCTGATGGTTCACAGCATTTGCTTATTTCTTAATCCTTTGGTAGCCAGTAAAGGAGAGGGCTTTTGTTGGGCCAGGTGAGCCTCTGAGCTGAGTAATGCTTTCCTCCCCCAGAGGGCCTAGGCCACTTTAGGCTCTTAGTCTTACAGCATGGGTGAAAAGAGAAGGGCTCCTTTAGGCAGGACCGCCATGTATGGGTGTGCAGATTGTGCACTCTACTACCTCTATGGGCGCCGTTCACAGAGAGTGCACCATTCACAACGGCGCCCCTGGAGCTGTGCAACACACCCTTGTCTGTAGGCTTTCTCCTCCCCATCACCAGATGGCCTCCTGCCTCTCGCCACCTGCCCCAGACAATTCCTCTGTACTATTCTTGCCCTTCCTTCTGTAGTACCCATCCCATCTGCCTCTCTCTTCTCCACTCTGGCACTTTAAGATTTCAGGGGAACAGATGTATGGAGTGAGGTAATCAATGTGCATCCCCTTCAGTCCTCTCCCCCAACCCTCTCCCCGACTCGACCCTCTTGCCTGGCTGCCTTCTTCTGCTCATCAGCCCCTGGATTTTTCTCTCCATTGAGAAGCTACCCTGGGGAGTGTGGGTGAGGGTAGTGTTCTGAGCAAGAGAAGGTAGCCATGAGGATGGAGTTTGGGCATGTGTGTGGGAGACCAGCAAGACCGGGTAGGTCGTCTTGACCACCAGGCCCAGAGTACCCTGCTTCCAGAGAGGAAAAAAGACATGCTTGGCGCCCCATTTCTCCCCAACATGGAAAGTCAGCCAGCCCTGGGTTCAAGTCTCATGGGTTCAAGATTTGGGTTCATTCAAGTCACATGCCTGTCACATACCCAACCAGCTGCATGACTTTGGGAAAATTCACCTAACTTCATGCCCCTCAGTTTCCTCCTCTGTAAACCGGGCTACATTAGTCTATTGGACAGGGTTGGCCAAAAAGTTCATTCGGGTTTTTCTGTAAGATGTTATGGGAAAACCCGAACGAACTTTTTTGGCCAGCCCGGTAAAATGCTACAGGTAAAAGCCATTTAGTAAACGCTCTGTGCACACTCATAGTTGTTTTTGATGATGATTATAAGATCTGTTGCAGCAGCCCAGGACCACTGGGTTATTCAGCAGGTGAGGATCACCTGGGCAGCACGTGCCCTCCTGGTTCTGCGTTTCAGCTGGGAGCTTGGTAGCGTCAACGATTAAGAGCAATGACCGCTAACCCTGGGCATCTGAACTGCATGACCATTATATTTTCTGTTATCTCATCTGCTCCTGACAATAACCTGTGAACTATAAAGAGTCTGCAGGAAAACCTGCTCCTCAGATGCAAAGATACCCTCCCTTGCCAGCTCTGCGGTCAAGAGAAATGAGGAACAAGCCTTGGCAACAGGAGTCTGGGGAAGATGGTCCGCCTTCCTTTGGTCCATCTTTGCTTAGCTTTGTTGGCCTTGCCAGCTCTCCCCCCAAGCACATGGGAGAGACTTGAGCTACCACTTACTCTTTCGGGGGGTTGACATCCTCTGGTCGGGCCTCAAAGAACCGAAAGACTTCATCACACTGTGAAATATGGGGTGGCAGCCGGACAAGTGCCTGTGGAAAGACAGGAAGAAAGGGCATTAGGCCTGATGAAACTGGGAACAGGAAAACCAAAAGCAGGGCCAGCTTGGGCCAACAGTGATGGGGGAGGCGCGAGGACTGCCCCGAGGAAGACACAATCAATCAGCTACCCAACTGACAACTAATCAAGGAATTAACTAATCAAGGAATTAATCAAGGAATTAATTAGACAACTAATCAAGGAATTAACTGATCAGTTAACTAATGAAACAACTCTCCATCTGTCCATCCACCCATCCCTCCCATCAACTAACCAACCACCCAATTAATGAACTAACCAACCAGTCAACTGATAAAATAACTTATCGGTCAACCAATCAACTTTTCAACCATCCAGCCAACAATTCAACCAACCAACTATCTAACTAGCCAGTTAACCAACTAAACAACTAGCCAAACAAGTGAAAAAAAGGGGGAGGCCATTAAACCCTAGGTCTCAGGGCCCTCAAGGACGAATTATTCTGCATGAACCCTGAAAGAATTCTCTCTTGCCCACAGAATAAGTCCAAGATCCCTAGCCTGACAATCCAAGGTCTTTTCCTCCTGGCCTCATCTCCCACTAGCCACACTCCAGCTGCACCAGATATCCACAGTCCCTAAATACTCACTGCACGGTTATTTAATGACAAGCTGGTAATTCTATCAAGGACAGCAGGGTGCTATGGCAGAGTCTGATAGGACCTGGGAAGATTGGGAAAGGAGGTGGTTTTAGGAAAGTCTCTTTGAAGCTGAGTCCTGAGGGTGGGTAAGAATTAACCGGTCAAGGTGAGGGTGGGGGCCAGACCAAGCATGGTGGTTCTAGGAGCTGAATGAGGTTGGTGTGGCCTGGTCTAGCAGGGCCTTGCTTAGGCCAAGCTGAGCTGAGCCTGGAGGAGCAGAATAAGCTGAAGGGTGTGGAAAGGCTTCTTCGAAGAGTGGGCAGGAGCTCGGCCAGAGGGGTGTGCAGGATTCAGACAGGCGGGAGGAGGTGAGCGTCCTGAGGGGGATAACTGTGTAGTCAGGGGTGAGGGCCAGCTGTGAGCTTGCATCCAGGAGGGGTGAGATTGCGCCGCTGGAAAGGGAGGGATGCGGGTCAGAGGTGATCAGTTTCCTGCTGTGCACCAGCACCGGCTCCACACCTTGCAGCCTGGGCACCTGGACCGCTGTCTCGGCTCAGAGCAGCGTGGAGCGGTGGGGAGAGGGTTGATCCTTTAGTACAGACAGACAGGGGAGGTCACCGTCAAAGCAGGGCTGGGGAACGGGGCCAAGGGAACGCTGGGCTAGAGCCAGGAGAAGGAAGAGGCAAACCCTGGGCTGCGGAAGTGTGAGGAGGAACTGCTAATAAGGAGGCTCTGGGGCGGTGGTCAGACAGGAGCCCATCTCGAGCCTGTGCCTCTCCAGGCCCCCTGCACCAGGGCTGCTTCAGGTGCAGTGACCCGGCCTGGCAGCTCCCCTGTGCCAACCGTGCTGGGCCTCCATGAGTGCGGCCACCGGGAGCCTCACGATGGTCCTTGTGAGGGCAGATCTCATTCCCGTGTTACTGAGGAGACAGAGGGGTCAGGGAGGCCACGTGGCCTGCACACAGGTGGGAGAGACCCTGCTAGAAGGTAAGCTCCATGCGGGCAGAGACTTTAGTCTGTTCTATTGACTGCTGTGCCCCCAGATCCTAGAAGAGTGCCTGGCACTCAGTAAGTATTTGTTAAAAATGAATGAATGAATAAGAGTTTGGTGTGCAGAACCACTGTCCAGTAGTAGTGGGACATGATAATGGGGCAAAAAAAGCACATGTGGTCTTGGGTTGCATTGACAGAAGTACCGTGTTGAAGGAGGGGGCAGTGATCACTTACTTCTCTGAGTTGCTCAGGTAACAATTTAAGTGTGGCGTTGAGCACGACGGCCCTTCCCGAAGCCAAACCCACATCTGGGCAAGATGGGACAAGACCTGACCTTAGCAGATAAAGACACACTGTGTAACTCCCTGCTGTTCCTTCCAGAGCCTGTGGCTTTCCAAGGGTCTCCAACAGATCCCATCCCCATGACCAGGAGAGAGATAAAAAAAGAAAGGAAATTAACATTCAATGAGCAAATACCACGTGTCAGGCACTATCTTCGGCTCCCGGACTCTCCAACCATCCAACAAGCATGGAGCTTTCAGTGTGTGCCCTGGTGGTACAGGCATGAGCCAGACACAGCCCCTGCCCTCACAAGTGCACATCTGATGATGTGCCATCCAATTTTGTCCTGGAGGTACCCATCATTGCTCCCATTTATGGTGGGGACGCTGAGGCTCCTGAGGGGTGAAGCCACAACTAAAGTGGCAGAATGAAGCCCTGTGCTCGACGTAGGCTGGGTGGAACTTACCCCCAGAGTGTTCAAGTTTTCATTTAACGCACATGGTATGTGCTGTTTTCTCCCCCAGGAGAGAAGGGCAGAAGGAAAGAAAAAGTGAGGAAGAAGAGAGAAAGCGAGAGACAGAGACAAAGAGATGGAGGGAGGGAGAGAAAGACAGAGAGAGACAGAGACACAGATGGAGGGAGAGAGAGGCAGAGACAAAGAGAGAGATGGAAAGAGAGAGACAGATGGAGTGAGAGAGACAGAGACAGAGAGATAGAAGCAGAGAGAGATAGAGACAAAGAGAGAAACAGACAGATATACAGAGAGATGGACAGGGACAGGGAGACTGAGAGGGAGAGGGAGAGACATACAGAGAGAGACAGAGAAGTGGAGCTCAGGCATGTGCAGACAGCAAGGGCTGCTGGCAGGAAGCAGGAGGGTGGCAGGAGGGAGCACTAATGGGCCAGGATGGGCAGGAGGCAGGAGGGAAGTGTTACCAGGGGCCCAAGCTGTGTGCAGAGTCGCTGCCAGGGTGACCTCCCTGACCAGCAGGAGGCGGGGGTCGGGGAGTGGGGGAGCGGGGCAGGCGCCCTCCCACTTAGGCGCAGAGCTGCTGGCCAGCTCCAGCCCCCCCCCGCCCCCCCGCAACAGCGGTGAACACAGGGGCTCCTCATGCCGACAGAGACCGGCATTCCGGGGGCAGAGGACGCGTGGGCTGGAAGGGCCTCAGACAAAGAGGCCTTTTGGGCAAAGCGCTGCGGCATCTTTATTTAACAGGGAGCCCCGAGGGGAGCCGCGTTGAGGGCTCGTCCTGATTTCAGGCTGACAAGAGGCTCTTGGCTCAGAGCAGCTTCCATCAGAGCTGCCGCCAAATCCAGCTCTGGCCAAAATCATTTGGCAGGAGAGCTGGGTGCTGAGCAGTCAGTCCCCACGGCCTGGGCTGGCAATGGCAGCCAGAGCCGGGGAACCCCCAAACCTAGCTATTCTTGGAGGAGCAGGTAGTGACCAATACATGGGCATCTTCAGGGCCACCACCGCCGGCTCAGGCCTAAAACTCTGCCATTGGACATTCAGGATGTATGCCATGGGGTGGTTAAGTCAGGGCTAGGCAGATGGGAGTTTGAGTCCTAGGTCTACTGTTAACAGGCTGTGTGATGCTGAATGCCTTGCTTGCCCTCTCTGAGCTCAGTACGATAGATCTCATATGGCGCCTATCTTTTAGGAGATTCAATGAGATCATGAATATGAGGAGCCTAGCACAGTGCCTGGCACTGAGTAAACAGTAAAATTTAGTTACACTATTGTCTTCATTATCATTATCCTTTGGGTGAAAGCAGTGAGGTATACTAGGAAGAATGGCAGTCAGGAGACTTCAGTTCTACAGTAGGTCCAATTCTGCCCTTATATACTTGCTCCATGACCTTGGGCAGCCACTTCACCTCTCTGGTTGTTGTTTCTTCTAAGATAAAATAGACTAGCTTCAGAATCTCAAACCGTATCTCATAGAACACCTGTTTGATGAGATAAAATCAGTTCTGTGGGCACATGTGAAATGGTGCCTTGAAGATCCCCATCTTGGTCTTGGTGGGCATCATGTTCATTAGCACAGCAAAGGCTCTGAGAAGTCCTGCAGGCAAGAAACCTACAGAGATGTGTTCAGGCCAGTACTTGTTAATAATAACGACATCCTGGGAATTTGACTCATTTAATCATCACATTAACTCTAAGAGATGAGTATGACTATGATTCCAGTTTAACAGAAGAAGAAACGAAAGCACAGAGAGGTTAAATCATTTCTCAAGGCCATACAGCTAATAAGTGGCGAGATTTTGAACGAGGTGTCTGAGTCCAGAGCCTATGCTCTCTCTGATCTGCAACTCTGTACTTCCTCCAGCATTACCCACAAGTCTCTGACTGTGGAGCTGGTTTTCCAAACAATTCTTATTGACAGCCCATGGAACACAGCTAGGCAAACCCAGGCCAGAGACATTCTGAAGTTTCTTCCAGCTCTAACAGTCAATGGCTCCAGGACTGCAAACAGCACCACTATCAGTGAATTCAGCGTCCAATCTATCACCAGCCTGGTCTTTGCAAGTACAGCAGTGGCATGGGAGGGGGCCCCAGGCAGGCTGTGCTCAGACCCTCTGCTTCGAAATGATCTCCCTCCACGAAGCCCACTATGCTGGGTTATGTCTATCCCAGGACAAAAAGCAAAGTTCTGCATTTGTCAAAGCAACTGGGGGTGTCCTACTCTTTCCACAGGATCAAACATTGTCCTATTTTTAGCAGCATCATTTTGGTTTCTAAGCAATGGGAATCTTAGAGTAAAAGCCCAGCGACTCTGGGTGGGGTAGGGGTATGTGGTGGGGGGTGAATGGGCTGAGTGGGCTGAAGTCCTATCCATTTGGCCTCCACTCTCACCCCCAGGGCTGCTTCTAACCTGCTCCGGACTATTCCTCTTAGATCAGCATCTAGGAAGCTGGGGGCTCACCAAACTTTTATAAATCAGAGTATGTCAAACACATGAGTTCTCTTTTTGAAGGATCTAAGAAGCGAATTCTTTTGTAATGGAAATAGTGCTCAATTCGCAATTGCAATTTAAGGCATTTCACAAGGGAGCCTAGTAATTGGGGCCTTGGGGACATGTCACCCTCCTTGGAGGTTTCTTCTGCTTGTGTGCGATCGTCAGATACTGCCTGGCCTCCCGCGTGGGACCAGGCTTCCTGCTTGTTAGTGAAGACACAAAGATAACAGATGGGGCCTTCAGGGAGCTCTTGGTCTGGAGAGATGGACACACAGAAATTACCCTCCTATGGAGGGAAAGTGTGCAGCATGGAGGCGTGCACGGAGTATTCTGGACAGCAGGGGTGGCCAGCTTCCTCCAGGGAGGTGGAAGGCTTCTGGGAGGGGCATCGTGGGAGCCAAATGCATCCCCAGGAAAGGGATTAGCACAGGCCAAGGGGTGGAAGTCTAAGGGAGTCTGGCTAGCTGGGGGTGGCTGCACTTCTGCAGACTGGGCTGCAGGGCGGGAGCTGAGGCTGAAGCAGCCCATGGAACAACCCCACAGACGGCCCGGCTCAGCCGGTCAGAGGTTCCTGTGGAGCCCATGAGGCTCCTCTGAAGGCCTTTAAGTAGAAAATGGACACAATCAGCTTTATCTCAGGCTGGAAATGCTTTCTTCCTGGGTCTGTCTGGACCAGAGGAGATGGAGAGATTCTGCCACCTGGGTTTCTTCTGAGCACCAGACCACTCAGGAGGCCTGAACGCATCAGTCTTGGCTCTCTGCCTCAGTCTCCCCCATGAGCAACACATCTGGCCCAGGCCTGCCTTAGAATAAGGGGCACAAGAACAAAGTTACTCTCCCCGTATCTAGGACTGAGCATGCCAGGGAGCCCTGGTGCTTCTTTTTTTTTTTTATCTTTTTTGTGGTACGCGGGCCTCTCACTGTTGTGGCCTCTCCCGTTGCGGAGCACAGGCTCTGGACGTGCAGGCTCAGCAGCCATGGCTCACGGGCCCAGCCACTCCACGGCACGTGGGATCCTCCCGGACCGGGGCACGAACCCGCGTCCCCTGCGTCGGCAGGCGGACTCTCAACCACTGCGCCACCAGGGAAGCCCCCCGGTGCTTCTTAAAGGAGTCTGTTTTTCTTGCAACAGGAACCTTTTTCTTTATTAAGGTGAGAGACAATGATGGGCTATGGTGGAAAACTCCCACGGTGGGAGGGAGAACGGCTGGGGCTGAGAACCTCCAAGAGGTAATAGCCAAAGTTTTCAAATATGGGAAGTGGGGCTAAAAATTAATGAGTCTGAGAGATGCAGAGGGTGGGGAGGGGAGATCCTTACCCCTTCAGGGCTGACATCCTTGTTAGGCTTGGAGTCCCTCCCCCAGTCTAACTCCAGCCAACCCCTCATCCCACCTACAAAGAGAGCCTTTGATTCTGAAAGCAAGTCTCTCATGGACAGCAGAATAATAGAAGCGAGCTCGGCTTTTTGGGTAACAAAAAAATTCTAGCTGCACCCACCAGGAAATGGAGACTTGTATAAACGTTGTTACATGGCGGAGGGTGCGCTGATTATTCTGAAACACTCTT